ACTATATTATTCCTGCAATAATATTGCTAATTCAGGGGCTCATACTATGTTCATGACTATTTTCAATTTTCAGGCTAGAAGCGTCAAGTACGGATGAACCTGTTGCTCAGGCTGTTTAGTTAAAGAGGTAGGTCCATAATTTCATCTTTGAGCTGAGGGCAGAGGGTCTAACCCTGAAGCAGTCATCGTTTTTTTCTTTTCTCCTGATTTTGAAGATCTCAATGAGCCTTCCTCTGTACAGACCTGTTCATTACAGCAAAGACTATGGAGGCTTTTTCCTTTAATTATATATGCTTAAGAAGCGTTATTATTTTCTTGATGACATCAAATGCTCTTATTGTTGTTTTAGTTCCTTCTGAATATTCTTGATTTGACTGAATGATTACCACTTTTAGTCCAAAACAATAGCAGAATAATTAGGACTATCCTATCTCCGGTATGTAGATAGGAAATGTTAATGTTCTCTCCCACATCCCTATGTGAATTTTCTGTGGTCAAAGGTGATGGAGGAAAATGAACCTTAATAGGGTATGAGAACTGCTCCGCAGCTTGCTGTTTATATCAGAAGAAATGTGCTATCTGTTGAATTGAACCAAAACGCAGGAAGCAGTTCTCTATTGTTCAAATTCTCTTTTAATATTTTGCACAGCTGATCTCCGGAACGATAAATGCATAATATGATGAAAGATGTTCTTTTTCTCTGTTTTGCAAGATGAAAGAAAACTATATAATTATACTTTTGTTGCTATATACCTGAATAATGATGTTTTGCAGTTCGGGGTTTTTCCTCTTTCCAGGATGCAAGTAATAATCATAAAAAAAAATTGGCTGCCTAATATCTATGCTTTCTTTCTTCGTAATGAAAAATACATGAACAAAGAGCGTTCATTTCAGGATTTTCATTTCGTCCCATAGTTTAGATAAATGAAGAGACATAGATATATCATTCAGCAACAGAGATGAAAAGGATACTGATGATACAGAGGCATTAACTAGTCCATTTCGGTTGTTTCTCACAGATTACAGAATAAATTTTCACATGTTACAAAGGGATCAAGAAAGGATAAGAACGAAAGAGGAGGTGGAGCTTGGATAGTTCCATGCAACAACAAAGCATGCACTGTCTAATGGAACTTAAG